GGCTATAACTGGTATTGCTAACTTTAGCTAACAATGAATCTGGCTATACCTGGTATTGCTAAATTGCTTTGCGACTTACTGTACTGGAATGCAGTTAACTCAGGTGTGACATCATTACCAGCCCAGACTTCCGAGGTAAATGGAACACAGCATTATTTTATTATGATTGTTATGATATTTATGAGGAGAAAAGATAATGATAGTATAGGAAATTTTCTGTGTCCTACATCTTTGTATAATGGCCAAATGATAGCTTTAATTACAGTTTTATTATAGGTATTTTAAATTTGACACTTACAATTTTATTTTACTTTAATAAGTAGATCCAATTTATACTGACTTTTAATGCCATGATTCAATAATGTCAGGAATCAATAAAATGTTATTTTATACGACTTGCCAAAAAATCAGTGAAGCAAAATAAAAACTATTATAAATGATTTCATTATCATGAGAAATGAGACAATTATCTTGTTATCTCGGGATAACAAGAAAAAAATAACTGCAAGCACCGCCATTCCGTAGATATATTTTTTCTTTTTTAATTTATTTTATGTAATTGCTTTTACAATGTGCAAATAAGTGTCTCTTAGGTTTTGTAATTCAGATATGTCAACAGACACATTGCCTTCGGATTGGAACTGTCCCTAATCGTGTTTTGTGTTTTAATAATCAATAATATCAAAACAAATTCTGTTTGTTGCCGTATGGTAGTTGCACTGAAACGTGAACCAAAATCGGACTGATGTTTGTACCTCATGAGTTTTGCGTACTGTTACTCCCCTACTAAATATACACTGGAAATACACTTAATGTAAATCCTACTGTGGCCATCTGATCACATAGCCTAGGCTAAGTTAACCTGTGTGGCCAAGCTACCGTTTGGCGCTCGCTAGTCCAGAAAGGACACACTGTAGACTGCCAGCGATCGGTGAGTTGTTAGTCTTCATTATCTGTATTACAGTAACAAAGCAAGAGCAGGCATAGTGATACTCATTACATGGTCTATGTTGGCCTCACCTGTGGCCGGAGTATGTTGGCCCGCCCTGGGCCCTGCTCCTCCTCAGAGACAAGCCTGTGCCAGTTCATCACAGGGCAGATACTCACTCTCTGCAAGCAACTCAGACACCAATTAGCTTAACCACATGTGTTTGGACTATGGGAGGAAACCTGTGTGACACAAAACAGGCAAAACAGATAAACTTCACACATACAACGGAAGTGGGATTCAAGGGTCCAACACTGAAGATGTGAAGCAACAGTGCTACCCACCGACCTACTGTGCTATTCTCTATGAATCAGCAAAACCCAAATTCTTTGAAAAGGTATAAAAGTTTATTACAGTTATATGTTACTTTTATCAGTTGGGGAAATGAAAATATAAGCTATTGTAGCGATGGTTCTGGTTGGGATGAAGGAGTAGCACATGTACTCTCAATGTTTTTTTATTTTATTTTTGCTTTTGATACGTAGAAAGTGCTTGAAATTCCTGTTAGTTCAGCTGGATTACTTTCAGCTGTGGTCTGGATTACTGTCAGCTATGGTCTGGATTACTTTCAGCTGTGGTCTGCACCTGAGCCCAATCTGCACCTTAAATATGTCAGATCAGGAGAGGAAGAACTGGAGGGGGATGTGAACCCCCCAATTTGACTTAATACCCCCCCCCCCAAACAGACCTCTTCATTTAAATTATGAAGCTGTGTCCCCCAATATCTTAATTCCTACACACTTGTATCAGATATTACACCTCAAATCTGGGGGCTACCTAAATACTAGCCACTTAATCACGTTTCACTCTCCATATATATTCTCAAGCCGAGGGCATAAATATTCAGCATGCAAGTTTACTTATTTATTATTATTCCTCCCGTCCATTTTCTGTACCTGTGTGTCCAATTCAAGTCACAGGGGGCCTGGAGTCAATGGGCACAAGGCAGGGAACAAGAAAGGATGCGGGGACGGGCCATCACAGGGCACACTGTCACACACCATTGGGCAATGTGATGACTCCAAATTGTGGGCTGTAGGGGGGCACCGGAGTACCCAGAGGAATTGTTTTTATTATTTAATATCCATATAACAACAGGATTCATTTGTCTCACTGTCTAGAATGTATGTGTTTTGCACTCCAGACTTACCAGAGTGAACTCAGTGTAAGTTTTAATACAGCAAAGTTCTGCAGGATGTGATTCTGAAGGTGGTCATTACTGTGCGTCTCTGTGCGATTCACCACTGTCCTATGAGCTTCTGTTTGGTCTCCATCCCCTTATCGTACTCCTGTGTCTCAGCCAAGTGCTGCCCTCGTGGATTGCAGTCAGGACAAAGCCAGATCACTGCGAATCAATACTTTGTTTAATTTTCAAATGTCATGAGGAGGAAACTCGAGGAGGGAGAAATGAGATCCATTCCCTGTATGTCGGTGAGCACAGCATGCGAGCGTCGGTCGTCCTGGTATTCAGTCAGAAGTGAAATAGACCCTATTAATTCTACTGTGCTGGAGATGTAGCCGTTTTATTGTAACAAATTGGTATTGGGCTGCTTCTGCTTGGCTGGCTTTTAAACATAATCTGGAGTCGTTGTGTATATTAATTATTTTTTAATAAATGTGAGAGTGGCTGCAGAGCCACCCAGAGGAACAGTGAGAAGTGTGTTCTAGACGTGTGTCATGGTGGCGGAGGGGCTCGATCACAGGTTAAATGACAGACGTACACTCCCCACCAATGTTTGTTCCCCACGGTGCCCTGTTTACTGTACCCTTTTCTTCCTTGAACAGACTTGTCACAATGGCTCGAGAACATTAAAAAGCAACCGCACACTCGCAAAATGCCTGAGGCAGTGAAGCACATTTGAAAGGCGGCTTGTGTGTTTGTGTCTGTCTGTGGGATTTCTTATTCAGAAAATTCAGCTGGATTATACACTGATGCATGTAATTGAGAATGACGAAGCTTCAGAGCATTGCGCAGGGGCGGGAGTGTGGAAAGTGGCAATCAGATTTCCCCCCACGGTTACCTGGAGGCAGTTGGCACTTTGTAAACAGGAGTGAGGAACACTGGTAGATAAACAGCCACTCAAATCTGTCACTCCACTCCGAGCAACTTCAGAATGCATCAAACCACGCCTGCAATATTCAGTGTAAGGCAGTTCTATACAGGACAATGGCAAGCTCATAGTTACTGAATGTCAAGGTTAATCCTCAGAGGTTTCTTTTTAATGTGAGCATTTGCACGTATCTGGAGGTTAATATCTTACTCTATCACAAAATCGTTTTGCATGTCTTTCGTCTGTTAAATTAGGGACAGATGGAGCTAGAATTCCTCACTCACACGCTAGCTGACATTTAAATAAATGTAAATCCTGTCAACAAATGATTCGCCCTCCGTATTCTCTCCTATAAATAATTAAGGAGGATTATTTGTGAACATTTGCAGTGATATTTGATGCAGCTTTGATAACAATGATTAGCCTCTGTGTGTCTGATGCAGTTTGTTATATTACTGATGATTAACGTGATACATGGTACTTGTACTGGCTGAACCGAAAAAAATATATATTGTAGGAAAACATACTGACTCCTGCATGACGACTCCTTTATCTTGCTGAGCCATTTTCCTCTGGAGTACTGAAGCTCTAATTAATTCTGTGTTTATTTGTTAGCTGCTACCCTGTCTGGCATGGAGGGGAGTTTTGGCTGGAACATGCTCCTTGTTCCCATGTTGAGCTGTAAATCACACGCTGCAGGGCTGGGCAGCTCTTCACCTGCCTATCTATGGGCGGCTGCTAATTTTAGTTGTTATAGTGGCTCTCGAACAAAGCAGTGAATTCGATGTGTAAATCTGAACTGTAACCTTCAGTGTAGGACTGACTCTCTGCACTCAGTCAGAGGGAACATGATCCCCTCAAACAAAACTAAAAGCAGATAACAGGCAACCAGCTGTGTGATTCTAATACAATACCACTAATTCCTCATAAGGTGAGAATAATTGGGGTTCACATCCATTTGAATTAGCATTTATGGTACAGCTGTCACATAGTTATTTAAAAAGCGTTTGTCTGTGCTCATCAGCAACCAAGGGGTTTCCCATAAATTCTGAATGGGTACATCTACCCATCACTGTTATTTTAGTGTAAGCACTTTTTACAGGTTTCTATATATAAAATAAATGTAAGGAATTTTATGCATTGTCCATTATGATCGGGTGTTCACTTTGTTACTTATGTCTCCACAAGTGGCATCCTGTTTTATGTGATCTGCACATGCTCTGCAGGAGGTCTGTTCTTTGGAGAACTGTACTGATGCATAAAATGATTTTCCCTGTGCAGCACGTATCAAGTCATGTGTTTGAAAATCATATAGAATAAAAGAGCTTTCACAATGGAAAACAATAATAAATGAGGAATCTAGATGCAATCAATTGATATTATATTATCTACCCGTCCATCGTTGCACCAATGTCTTGTCCACTGCAGGGTAATAGGATAAAGCATTAATAACGTATCTTTAAACATTTATGATGAGAAAAGGACGTCTATGCTTCCTGCATTATAATTTGTCCTGGATTATTAGCAAGCTTGGCCAAAGAGATGTTAATGGTCGACAGTGAGTGGAAAAATTGTATTATAAATTTGTTATTATCTGAGAGTTGAACATTGTGATATGATATTTATTCATTTTAATGTTTGGTTATAAGGTGGCATGTTTTATATTTATATAAATTTGACTGTGAGTTTTTACTGCTTATTTGAGTTTCAGGGATTCAAATAATCATATAAGACAGTAAAGCACGGTTTAACTGATAAATTTTTGATCATATTAATATTGCTTATTCTAATTTTCCATTCCTTAAAATCTGTAAAAAGTATGACTAGTTCTTCATAGTACTATGAAAACTGAGTTGACTAGTAATAGTGTTGTGATTGTTTTGGCCTAATCATGCATCTCCCAGTGGCAAATCTGCATTTCCTCTGAAATACTCTCTTTTTTTCCCTCCTGCTCATTCCAGCGGTCAGGTTGCAGTTACCTCTTGTGCACCATCTTGCTCTTTGTGGCCGTGCTCCTGGCAGTCACAGTCACCGGCACCATCCTCCTCATGAACCATTACCACAACCCGCCTGCAGCTGACAGCCCCCATGTCAGCACCAATCAGAACGAAGGCAACGCCCTGGTGACGGTTGACCGAGGCGACGGTTCGCGCATCAACATCTTCATAGACCCAAACTGCCCGGACTACAACAGTAATTTCTTGCGCCTGGAAGGTGTGCAGACCTCACTGTTGCATTCGCTCACTGACCACGACTCGGACCTCAAGTCGGTCAAGGGTCAGGACCATGCCCTGCTGGTTAATCTGGCTGAGGAGGTGGCCAAACTCTCTGCCCATGCAGGCCAGTTAAAGATGGACTATGAGTCACTGCGGCGTGGCCAGGGAAACCTGGGACAGGAGCTTAATACCCTGCAGACAGAGCAGGGCCGACTCATCCAGGTGAGTGCCCCCGATTGACCACATAATCACTTTAACATCCGTGGTGATTGTGTGTGACTGTCGATGATGTAGCTTGTGTCATTTTAAGGTAATTTTCAAAGTTTATTTCAACCATGAAGACTATACTGAGCTTTTTCACGCTTAACAGTGTTTTGCAAAATTGAGCATCTTGTGATGGCTGGGGGCAGCGTGTGTCTATGGGGGCAGCGTGTGTCTATGGGGGCGACACGTGGCTCTGGGGGCAGCGTGTGTCTATGGGGGCAGGGTGTGTCTATGGGGGCGACACGTGGCTCTGGGGGCAGCGTGTGTCTATGGGGGCAGCGTGTGTCTATGGGGG